TAGGGATACGTTGGCAAGTGTAACTTCGTTCATCTTGGCCCTGCTTGTTAGGGAAGGAGCTTAATGTAAAGCTTGATCTGAATCATTGCAGACTTCAGTGGGATTAGAAAACCAGATGCAGACTTCTCAGAAAACGTCTCCTGGAAGGATCTGAAACCTAGCTCACGGATTCCAGTGTTTCTGCAGGACAGAATGTTTTGGATTCCATTGTGAATCTTGCACTGAGCCTGTTCTGTGTTGACACAAGTGTGTCGTTCGAGGCAAGAATACATTGCAATTAAAACCAACATAAGGTAACATACAAGCCAACGATTCAAGCCAAGAGTGTCAGCCCTTCAGCCTGCTCACATTATTAGAGGGAAAAGAGTTCCACTGCAGGACCAAGATCGTAAATAATTTACGCATACAAGAAACACATTGACAGTACATAAATCAGTTTGAAAATTTACCACAAGTGTCAAAGATTTCTTGGTTAAAAGCTCATATATCTTTAATAAGTTTCTGCCTTCTATACCTGCAGTGTAAGATACCATTCAAAGGACAGAAGACTCGATTGCAGGTTAATATCTTTGCTGGGTTTTTATGGTGGGGGAGGCTTAGTAGTGTGGCATGATACAGTAACTCAGAAGGAGACCTGGGTACAACTCTGAAGATGCTCCTGCTTTTCTTCTCATATCTGGATTTTACAGGTAGAGATAATGACGCCAGCCTGTTCATAAAGTACTTCAAATTCTCTGAGTGTGAAATTTTGGCTAAATAGTGAGGTGTTAAAAAAAACCAACACAGTGTTTTGCATTTTCTTTGAACAGGCCAGCAAAGAAAGAAAAACTTGTTTTGGGTGCATCTGTTGTTTCCTTTGAGACCCACAGGGAATGATTTGCAAGAGGAAATAATTGAAGGAAATGTGTTCATATTTCCTGTTGATAAGGTACAGCACTTAATACATACATCAGATTGTGAGACAGTGGTTTCTTACTTTTATATAACCACAAAATCCAGCCCATTTTAGTGTCTTTTAAAGAGACTACTGCTTGACTTGTTGTTTTGTCCTATCTTTTAACTTGTGTGCTTTTGCTCTTAAGCTGAAAAAACGCTCCCACTGTTGAGGGGACTGAATAATTTCACAGACTAAAGGAAAAATGCTGATGGCAGCAGCTCATCCTGGCCATCTGCTGCTTCCAAGGCTACCAGTGTAAATCCATTGTAACAAAGGTCATTTTGTGAAGCTAGTGGCGAAGTCTCTGGAGGCACTGGGAAGGAACTTGTGATACTTACCCTCTGTGGTTCTATACTGCAAACATAGGCATCGGAGGGTCAAGTATTAGAGGATAAAATTGTGGTGGAGTCATTAGTCCTGGGAGTACCAGCTGCTCATAGCATAACTTCCCAGCTTGGCAGAAGACAGTGTAACCTACTAAAAAAAGCTGCAAAGCGCACAACCCTAATAATTGGTTTTAGTGATGGAAACAGCTTCCTTGAAGCATTTGGAATAGGTCCTCAGCTGGTGTAAACTGTTGCAGCTCGTTACCCAAGTAGAAGCTCTGTCCCTGTATGTCCCGCTGTGGAATGCCTGTGTCATCTCTGAGCTAAACTTCACGTTCAGTGTTTCGTTTTTGTTGTGGGTTTTAGTTCTTAATACAGTGGGCTTTCTTCACATTCATTGCAACTCCATTGACCTTCACAGAGCAAAAACTATGAGTGTGGCTCATTTGTTTCTTTGCAGGTTGGTTTTGAGTTTTTTTTGCTTTGATGTCCCACTCCCCCACCCCCTGTTGAGGATAGCTCATTTCAGGACCTGTAGCTGTAATCAGTCTAGAAAAGTTAACTTTTTATAATTCAGCAAGTCTTGATACTCTGGCCTGAATTATTTTAATCAAACCTTTTCTGATCTGCTTGCAACTTCTGTATTTAGACCTGGAAAATCTTTTCATTGTATGATGCAGGAATCTAAGACTGAATTGTATCCATAAGTTGTTTGTATTTGTTTATGAGCCTGAGGTCTCAGTTTATTGATTTATTTCCCTCAGAGGGAATACCAGTTAACTTTGCTCAGTCCTTTTTGAGCTATTGGTCCTTAGTAAAATTTACATTGAGCAACAAGTTTTCTGTGAGACCGAGAATACCAGAAAAAGCCATGTTCTCATTGTGCCGCTTTGCAATTTTAATCAGGGTCGGTATTGCACGCTTTTGTTACAACATTAAACAAGCCACTGGGTATTTCTATCTCCATCTTGAGAATACTCCAGAACTTGCACATTCTCACTGAGAAGTTCCTTCAGTTACTTAACAGGAAATATTTT